TGGTGCTCATTTCACTCCATTTTTGGTGCTCAAAACACTCCCCACCCTATATATATATACACTTACAAGCGCATTCATTAATTAAAATTCTTATTTCTTTAGATACTGTTGTCGCACCAGAATCAACACCAATGGCTTCGGCCAAAAAACGTGAACATCAACTCGTATTTAAGCCACTACAAACTAGTGCTGAAGATAAAATAGATGTAAGTATTGTCGTTATTGTCTTATTTTTAAATAATTTTATATTAAGATGCTCACTGATTTACTTGCTGGCCAATGCAAACCATCCGAAAAGATAAATTATTTATCTGATCGAGCCGAAGTTTATTGTGATGAATATCAATGGACTAGTAAGCAGAATGCATGTAGAATTATTTTATGATAGTGCGCATCTCTATTTTAGATGCTTTAAAAGATATAGCTGAAATAGAACTATTAAAAGGTGGTAAACTGAATAATATATTACGTGCAATAAAAACGTAAGTAAATCTTATTTTGTTTCATAAATTCTTTTGTTTAACTGTTGTGATTTTCGTTTTTCTTTAACAGAAAAGCAAGTGTTCAACTAGATTTGGAAAAAATTCGGCACTTGATTGGCAACGCAATCGCTAGTGGTGGTAATACAACCGTTTCACATTGCTTGCATTATTAGAAGGTGTATTTTTCTCATTTAGTCGATCAGAAAAAACAATTCGATGCCTTAATGGACCATCTTAGCGAACAAACTGTAGCTGACCTACTCGAAGGTAATTATCCACATAAATGTTTCACTTTTTGATGAAAATCTGACAAGTAAATTGTCATTTTTTTAGATACAAACAAAAAACAACGATATTCAAAAAAATTCAAAGGTTTTTCGTAATACAATTCTTTCCATAGAGAACATTTCTATATTTCAATTATTATTATTTCTTGTTATAATCCTAGTTACAATCAATATTTTTGTCTTGAATGTTATTAATTTTCTGCTTGTTACAATCTGTTCAAGCAACTTTTCTGTGTAACTTGCTCATTTTTTTTGTTTGGTTCGATTTACTATATTTTAATGTACATGGATGAATAACATCACACAATTACCTGTACACATCTTATATTTTCTTGAGTTTGTTTTTGCGCAATTTTCATTCTTTGTATTTTTTTCTTAATGTAAAACGTTTGAATGATTTATGATCAGTTTATGAATAAAAAAGTCTTTAATCAAATTCGAACTGTTCCCAAATCAACGAAGAAACGATGGACGAAAAGTTGATTGTCACTTGAGTTTTCATTACATTTCATCGTAGAAAATACTCAATTAGTTTAGAAAGACTACATTTTCTACCTCATAGACGGCTGAATAAAACCAAGTTTTTAAGAGATACACATTATTTGTCTTTCGGCTACCTAGATAATTTTGTTAGTAATGAGACACATCCCACAAAAAATATGTAAAAAAACACTTTATGACAAGAATCAAATGATTTCAGCTCTGAATATAAAATTATTCTTTGAGAAAGAATTAAAACATATATATTTGTCCATCACTAGACAACAAATGAGGACGAACATGTATTTATCACATATGAACTCTAAACAGTTTTTAAAAAAATAAAAAAAAAAAACAAATTTTATTATTCATTTATAAAAATAAATGTTTGACAAATTATTCAATTAAACTCTTTGCATACGTTCACGAACTTGACAAAGTAATGGTTCCAATATGGATATATTTTGTTGAGACCTATATATAAAAAAAACCGGTTTTTAAAGATTAATCATAAAAATTTTTACATATTAAATTCATGTTGTTGTTGATCTAAATATTTTTGAAAACCTTCTGTTTCACATAATGGCTCAATAACGTTCATTAAATTCACACGTGTATTCGGTATTCGAAGATTAATTAAAAAACAAATTTGAATAATTTGTGAAACATATTTTGGCATATTCGTTAAATGAACAATTAATAATTGTGAAAGATAAACTCTTGGTACTGAATATATTTGATTAATTCCTGTTGACCATAAACCCTGAAAAAACATTTTCATATTTGTTAAAGATAATAAATTAGGTTGTTTTGATTATAAATAATAAAGTTCATCTAAGAACAGGATTGTCACCTCTTCCGCTTTTTTGCCTTTTTTCTCGTTTTTCCAGCTTACCCCTGATTTTTGATGAAATGAGTTATCCCATCTAACTAACATTTTTTGAGAAAAAAGCATGCACTTCAGTTGGTTACCATAGCCATAAATCACCTATTCTATATGTTTTCGTAGGAGATTAGTCAACCACATGACGAAACGCTATATCTAGAATTCTCATCTTTAGAAACTACCTTGCTTTGAGTCAAAAGTATTGATTGTTTCAGAATGAGATATATGTTTAAATTCGTCTTTGCTCTGTAAAAAAAACTTCTCTTACAAAACATGGCTGATACAAATTCATTCAGAATATTTGTAATAAAATTGTTTTCATTTCGGCTTATATATTAGGTTTGCATAGAGTGAGCTGCATCATACGGAGAAAAATGTTGTTATACATTTCTAGTCAAATTTTCCGATTCTATGAATGAAAGTTGCTGCTTAATATCAGATATTTAGCTAAAACTGTTGTGCCTGTGAGACAAAAGAATCGCTAGTCCATGACATTGATTTGTTGTTGATCAGGTCAAGCACAACGGATTGGAGTGAATAAGCACTGTTGTTACCTAATGAGAGTCATTCCAATCCTATACACGACTTTCTATAGCCAAAAAATTTCACATCAAACTGGTTTGATGAGTTTGAGCGCTGCTTCTTCCTAAAATAGATGAGCTTTTAGAGTATCATAATAGTATGAATCTGCGCAATTGGTAATTCTTCACTAAGATTTGCTTGATCTACCTATCTTAAAACGTTGATGAAAGTCGTTCGTTATCTTACCGTTGCTTTGAGGGAATAAAAAACAGATAAGTTTTGAGTGAGCATGACAAAAAATTGGATCTGTGTTTGTAATACTCACTATAAAACTAAGTCACAAAAAACCTGACTGCTCTCTTCAGATCCGCAGAATGCGTAGTCAGAGCATTCTTTATTGGTAGACTCTTGTTATGAGTTCATCAGCTGGTAGAAAAATTTGAAAATGGCTGCTAGCTAAAATAAAAGTGTGCTTCGACAACACCATCACCTTCTTGTTTTATCAAGTCGCAGCTAATCGACAACGGGCTGATACGTGTCGTTAAATATGCTTTTGATGCACGTATTTTAAAAAATTCGAATCCAATACCTTTATTATTGTGAGAAATTCGAAACGTTTGACTAGAACTACATGTAGCAAAGAGTGCTTTAACAGTTTTCTGCAATTTTTCCGAATTTTGGAAATTTTCTTTCCGCTATTTCCCGTTTTTCTCAAAGAAAATTTCGCTTTTTTGACCTGATGAGGTGGCATCCCTGTCTAACAAAGCTGAATGACATGTAAATGAAAGAAATATACAACCAATAATAAGTGCATTTAAAATCGATTGTCGAGAAGATATTTGTTAATCAAGACGAAAGACAATTCGATAATAAAGTGAAGGGTGTGAGTGTGGGTGTGGGGTGTGTGGGGTGTGGGTGTGAGGGTGTGGGTGTGAGGGTGTGAGTGTAGGTGTGTGTGAGTGTGTGGGTGTGGGTGTGGGTGTGGGTGTGGGTGGGTGTGGGTGGTTGTGGGTGGCTGTGGGTGTGGGTGTGAATTTATTTCTTATTTTTAAAACCCACACCCACACCCACACACCCACATCCCACACTCACACCCACACACACCCACACCCACACACCCACACACCCACACACACCCACACCTACACCTACACACACCCACACCCACACCCTTTTCTGTGATTTGTTTCATTTCATATTATTCATAACAAATTACAACTATGGCTACAAATTAACAAGAATATGATGAGCAATTGCCCGTTCTTCAAGAACGTTTCCCACAAGAATCAAAAGACAAAATAATTCGTCTTTTACAACGACACAATGATAATGTTGATCAGGTATATTATACTTTTTTGCAATTTAATATATATTCTATAGCCCGCTAATACCTCTAATGCGGGGGAATGGAGGTTGCTCGATATATTTTTATATATCAGTGTAAAAAAATTATAATTTTGATTTTCGGTTAAAATGTATTTGTTTAATTTTTTGAATTTGTAAATTTAATCAGATTCGTGCACGTCTAGTTCAACGAGAATATCGTGTTAATAAATGGACTACACTTGAAACACGTTTTGGTGCAGCAGTAGCGACATTACAACAAGAATTACCATCGACTCAATCAATGAAACGTATGCGTTTATTGAAAATTATGGAACGTTTTAGTGGTGATGTTGAACAAGCTCGAAATTTTTTACAAGTTTTTGGAGAACAACATCATAAACATGATGAAAATTAAAACGTATCTCGACATGAAAAACGAAAAGAATTAAGAGAAAAATATGCTACTCAATTAGCTGAATTAAGTACAGCTGGTATTAATGTTAATTGTCCATGTGTACTTCGACAATTGGAGAAAAATCAAGGCGATGTTACCAAGGTAGGATATTTCTTTCTTGTTTGTTTATTTTTGAAGAATACAACGATTCGTGATTGAATATTTTAATATAATAATAGGTTATGGAAAGAATGTCACGGCATACAGCACAGAAGGAAAAAATAACAGAACTTCAGGCAAAATATGCAAATCAAATTGCGCAACTTGAAACTGATGGTACAATAAGAGAAAATAAACGAATTTTAATACATTTATTAGAAAAAACTGATGGACAAGTTGATATTGTTAAACAACGTTTAAATGAAAGAAAAGAAAGAAGAAGAGAAGATCGAGATAAACATCACAATGAAGCACAAGGAACTGATGAAACAGGATCAACATTGAGAAAACAACAGAAACTAAGTGTTGATGATATTGAGAATCTTAAACGATTTCGTTCAGCTGGTGTATATGGAAATCCAATGAAAGTATTAGCAACCTTTCATGAATGTAATGAATCAATTGAAATGACAGTTGCTCGAATTCAACAAGAACGAGAACAACGTCACCAATGTCGAGATGAACGAAAATTAGTAAGACTCAATTTTAAACATGAACAAAAAAAAAACAATTAAATTCGTTTGACTTTTGTTTAGCAACGTAACATATTAGCTGAAGCTGAAAATGGTTATATAAAAATAAATAACCGTGATGATTGGCCACGTGATATCGAGCAAGTTTATTTAGATGGAAATAATATGATGTTTGTTGTTGATTCTCTTCGTCGTTTATGTTTAAATCGTTCTAGTAAAAAAACTGAACGTGCTTTAGGAGAAATAGCTTCCGCATGGAATGAACAAATGCATATACCAGATGTTGAACTTATCTTTGATTCAACACATCAATTAGATCAAATTGGGACAGTTAAAATTTCAAGTGCTCAACCAAAATATCGAACAACTGATGATATGTTAGTTGAAATCTCACGACAACCTGAAAATCGTGAAAAAAATAAACGTACAATCATTGTAACCTCTGATCGAGGTTTAGCAGCACTTGTACGTTTATAATACTGTATTTTTTGTTATTTTTTACTTTATTTTACCCCCTATTATCATAGTTACAACATGAAGGATGTTTAGTTGTTAAGTCATATAATTGGTTTGCACATTGTGTTATGACTTTGACACCTGATTTAATTAATTATCAAGAATTAACAGACACTATGACAATACCATCAACACTAACAACAAAGAACATTCGTTATAACTTCGAGGAACTCGTTTACCGTATTGCTAATATTGATATATAAACTTTCGCATTCGAAGTATTATTATAATTCAGAATAAGTTATTCTTTCGTTTTTTTTTCAAAATAAACATGAAATGCGTTCATTTAAATTTGATAAATTTATATTATTGTCGAAAACAAATTATGCTTGTATCACATTTGTCACTAATAGAAAGAATGTAAATGTGAGGGTGTGGATGTTAATAATCTCTTAGCCCACACCCGTCTCATCAATTCAGAGAGGATCACATACGAATACAGACATTGCGCGAACAAAGCAACTTGCACATGCTCATTTGCCATACTCGTCATCAGGATGCTCAGCATGCTTCTGATAAAGAATTCTTCTTTTTTCAAAATATTTTTGCCATTTTTTAAAGATACACTTTCATAGATGTTCGAATGTAAGATAAAACAAACTCAAATATCATCAATAAAATCTTCGATTACCAATGTTTCTGCAATATTATATGTTTGATAAGGTTTCTAGAACTTAGAAATCTTTTCGAATATTGTATCTATCGTAATATATGGTGCTTCGTTAGGCTATATATTTCTGTAAAAATATTCACACAATTTATGTATTTCATCTGTTGATAGAGGCTGCTTAATATCATCGTCAAGTCTTACTTGAATAAATTTTCGCAGTTCAAAATGATATCTATCGAATAGAAATTTTTTTTGGCATTGCTTATAGGCTTCTTCAATAATATCTACTTTAGTATCGTGATAATTCCCTGAATCTGATGGTGTTGACTCACTATGTGTTGAATATGACCCCGTGATAATACCAAACAATGGCTTCATATATCAAGACTTCTATTTTATTATCCATATTGCGTCTCAACGTTCACAGTCAAATATTTCTTCAGCAATGTTTTATGTTACGACTTGAATAGTTTGGAACAAGCACTAACGTTTCAGGAACATGATAATATGCCTTGATGGAAACAAAGTTGAAATCATTATGACAATATCTCAAAGAAGCTTGAACTATAGTATTGTCGCTTTTTCTTTAAACACATTCACTTCATTAAAAAGCTCAAACGTGTAAAATAAAACATGCTTAAATTGTGAAACGATTTCTGAACGATGAAAAGTACACATTTTAAAGCGTTATATATCAAAAAAATATCTAACGTCTTAAAAACGTATCGATATGTCTAAGAAAAATTGTACGATATTTAATCTGACAACAATTACATTAATCTCCATTTAGTCGACCTTATCGATTACGATGCTCTTCTGAAATGATGCACATCTGGTGTTAGGACAACATTGATCATATTTAGACATTTTGCTTTTACTACTTTTCTCTAGGTAAATATTGAAATATGTTCATTTTCATTTATTTGATAATAAAATTTTAAAAAAATTAGTATGAATATTTTTCTGCAGATGACAAAGGATGACGTAAAAGTTCTATCGGAATATGCATCAGAAATATTTCAATAGCAGGGAAGAATGGTAAAGCGGTACTGTGTTTGTTTCTCAAGAATTAGAATCGCGTTCGAGCTTTTCCTCCCACAACACCATGTTTGTATAATTCTGTTCTATTCTACACGTCTCAAGCTACTGCTTCGTCAATAGCCTATGCATTCTGCTCGCAAACCAAAGGTGGTTCGACTCTGCAAACCATCGCTCATGACTCATGTTATCTTTGTTCATAGTTTTATGTGCTTTGCTTCCATTCTTCATAAAGAGTTTTATTTGTAATCAGTACCATATCCGTTTAGATCCTATCTTGCCTAGAGGGTTAAATAAATCGCATATCATCAAAATATTTCAATAGTAAAAAGTCAAGTACAACATTTTCTTCAAACAATTTAATAAAGACATCACTAACTCTTCCAGTGAGAAAGATCTCTCAAATAACACAAGTAATCAATGAAGTTGACCTCGATTGGTTTGTTATATGCAGATGTATTTTGTCTATCGCTTCATGTGGAGCTCTGTGCAAATGAAGCGATGTCAGAATTGAATTTCTTCAGATCTATTGGATTTATCACAACAAAAGGATTCATTTTTTGGCAGTGTATCACACATTTCAACTGGATCTGAACACTAAACGATCAATGTTAAATTTGATCTTATGCTTTCGCTCTCGCCCTTTGTATTTATATTTGATAGTTCTCCCTTATTAGATATGCTATTGAAGTCTATATATAAGGGTGTGGGCGTGAGTGTGTCGGTGTGGGCATGTTTCACAAACCTGCAACTACATCCACATCCACATCCACACTCACACCAACACCCACACCCACACCCTCTAGTGGAGCACAACATCTTGCTGGCGCCTTACGATATAACACGGTGATCTTCATTCTCTCTTCATGACATTCTTATCCATCTTTTGCTTCTATATGTAGATACTTACTACTCTGAACATTGGGAGTAACTTGATTGGAGACGAAGGGACACTATATATCGCTGATGTGCTACGATATAATACGGTAATACTCATTCATTGTTCATTACAGTTATTTCTATCTTTGTTCTACATATAGACCCTCACTACGCTGTATCATGGCGCTAATGGTATTGGAGATAACGGCGTGAAGCATCTATCTGATGCCTTAATCTATAATGCAGTGACTATCATTCTCTGTTCATCCGTCATCAGCATATTTTCTGCTATACATAGACACTCTCTACTCTGGAACTTCGTGTCAATAACATCGAAGATAGGGGGATACAACATCTTGGCGATGCCTTAAGAAATAACACAGTGACATTTATTTCTTACTCTTCTTTTTAACATACATCTTCTTGTCTACATACAGACGCTCACTATACTGGATCTTAGCTATAATCGAATTGGAGACGAAGAAGTGTCATATGTTGCTGATGTCTTAGGAAATAATAAAGTGATGTTCATTCTCTCTGCACTTGTCTCATACTCAATTTCTCTCGTCTACTTAAAGACACTTATCACAATAGACCTTCGGTGCAATAATATCGGAAACAGGGGAGTACAATATATAGCTGATGTCTTACGAAGCCACACGATAATTATAATTTTCTCTTCGTATGTCTAATTTTCATTTTTTCCTCAGCATATAGGTACTCATTACAGTGACACTTGGCGGCAATCCAATCATAGACGATGGGGTACAATATCTCGCTAATGCGTTACGATATAATCAGATGAACGTCATTTTCTCTTGCTCTTTCCCATATGTATTCTCTCGATGCATAAACACTCGTTATGTTGGATCTTAGCTACAGCCACATCGGCGCTACTGGAACACTATCTATCGCTGATGCATTACAAAAAAATACAGTGACATTCGTTCTCTTTTCATCTATATGATATTCACTTTCTCTACACATAGACACTAACTGAACTAGACCTCAACGGAAATCAAATCGGAGATGAAGGAGCAAGATATGTGGCTGATATCTTGCGACATAATACAGTAAGGCTCGTTGTCTCTTCATCTCTCTCATATATGCATATATTTTGCTTTATACAAAGATACTCACAAAACTGGACCTTCGATCAAATAAAATCGGAGAGACGGGGATACAACATATAATTGCAGCTTTGATAAATAACACAGTAACACTCGTTCTCACATCGTTTATGTTAAGTTTCTCTTTTGTCTACATGCAGACAGTCCAGATACTATATCTCTGCTATGATAACATTTCTTGCGCAGTTGGAAAACTATTACAACAGCAAGATGATCGAATTAAATGATTTATTTTCTCATTATATTTGAAACCATTTGATTGGGTTTTGTCTTTTTGTTTTGTTGATGAAAGAGTGTGGGTGTGAGAGAGCATGGCTGATTGATTATCTTTTCTTTATTCAGCCTCTCAAGATAGTTTTTGCAAAATATTCTGATTGTTATCTATGAAAAGAATAACTAATGGTGTTATTTTTAACTACTACTTCTTGTCATACTCTATTCGATTGATTATATGTACACGCGGATCAGTTATATTCAGTTGATCTTTTATCTTGATTTTATTATATATAATTTTCAGCGTTTTACGTCTTCACAAACCTAACTCTGCCTATTGATTCCTATTACCTATATGATTTTTTGTTTTGATTGAAAAAGTATTTGAATGATTCAAATATCCAGGCTTATTATATGAACTTAGTGATTTTTGGCCATTTAGTTGTGGTGACAAAATCTATGAATATGATAAAGGGTGTGGGTGTGGATTGATGTGGGATGTGGATATGGTTATGGGGTGTGGCTACCGAAGAACAGAAGACTTGCATCCACATTCCACACCCTCGGGATTTTGACACGTATTTTCTTGATAATGATCATAAACTCGTCTTTGTAAAGCCTATAATATAGATTGCCACTCTTCACGTCGCAGAACTTTTCAATTTATCTGTTACGTGGACCTTTTTCTATACAAGGGACTTCACGTTTAAATTAATAATAATGGTAGTAAATATTTCAAGTACAATAGATTGTATTCGCAGTGCCTTTTCTGTAGCTTATTTGACGTTAAGGGAATTCTGAACAGCCCTTGAATAGATCAATATGAATGGAAATTTAAGCTCGAAATTGTTAGATAGATTATTTTTATGATTCAAGCTTTTTCTTTTCAATAAAACTTGCAACATTATGATTGAAATAGATGCTTGTAATGAATGGTACTTGCTTCTTTAAAAACATTGAAAGAAAAGATTTATTCTTATTCTAATGAAAAAGACTCAACCAATAACCTAGTGTTTATATGAAGAAACACATATAAGATAAGCTCTTTCATTTTATAAAAAATAATAAAGTTCCTAGGTGCCACATTTCCAGTTGAGTTTAGTTTATATCCCTATCCAATTTCACTTTGTGATTAAATTAATTGTACATGTACGATGTTGTAACCCTCGCTTGACATTCCTTGTTTCATAACTGTTTGTCTTCTATCTTGACAATCTTTGCTTTACCTTGTCCGTTGTTCTTCGTATGCTCTTCTTCTCCTTTTCGCTTCCTCTCTCCCGCAGTTGCGTGCATAAACGTGTGTTTTATATAAAAATGAAGCGATTTTATGGTT